TTCTTTCATACTGCATGCTTAGTTACTTTGATACACTATGCCTTAGTTTAGGATAACCTAGTGGTTAGAAGCATGTTCAAAACTAAAACTAAACCAGGAGGTGCTACTACGAGAAGCTTGGAGCGAACATCCTGGGCGTCACGACGAGGAACAACTTCAAAGCGGATCACAGGAGCAAAACATCTTCACAACACATGAACACATTCACATCACCTAACACCTTCTTTAGTTTAAATAACAACCCATAGGATCTTTTCTTTGGGCTTTTTGCACAACTCTGTTGTGTAATTATAAGTCCTAACGCATTAGAATTCTGAGGTTACCGTTCGATACGGTGTAAATCCTCCTGTCTTTTTAGACTATTTACACAGTCCGACATTGTGCAAGCATAAGTCCTAAATCTTAAATAATTTGCAGGATTGAATATCAAATAAACATCATTTCAAAGACATAAAGCCGAACAATAGGATAGTTGGGACATCTCTGGGATTTCTCCTGGATCTGTGATGTCCCCTACTTTTCTTCCCTTTGAATTTCTTAAATAATCGTTCCTATTTTGAGTCATTCCCATTTGATTTTTTCATGTCCAATCGTGAAAACTTAAACTTTGAAATCTTGAAGACAAAACCATCTGATCTTAATCGAGAGTTTTCTTAAGTGATTTCGATCATTTAAGATGTAATTAACTATAGGGACTTGCCTTTATAGGGAACCAGAAACCCAGATAAAATAAACCCTATCTAATTTTTTATGTTAGGTAGGGGAATTTGTTGGCCTTTTTATAAAATATTTCGCAGACCAATATGGATGTCACAAATTTTTTAGTCTATTTGATTGAATCCCTATTACAAGTGATATATTTATTCTTCGGGATAAGTGTATTACCCGTAGTATTGTACTCAATCATCTAAACTATTTAAATGTGAGACCCATTTGGTCTCACCTATTTTAAAATTAAAATGTTACTTTTAAAAATAAAAAAAGGTTATATTTATATTTAAATTATTTTCAAAATCACAAAATCATTCACTTTTTCAAATCACGAAGTTTTAAAATTAAAAACAAAAACGGCCAACAATATTGCAAATAGTTCAAAGAAAGAAAATGAAGATCAAATTAATTAAAGGGATAAATTAGTTGAAAGATTCACCCATTAATGGTACTAGTTGGACATTATCATACCTTTGCATGAAAAAAAATGAAAAAAATGAAAAAATGGAGTTCCTTAATTGGTACAAAATTTTAAGAATGTGCTCTCGAGATGACTTCCCAAATGAAATGTAAATAAAAAAGCTTAAAATATTCATATTAAAAAAATGCATATATTTAAATGCTTTATAAAAAATGTAATAATAATGTTAAGCATTCTTTATCTTCCAAAATTCATGTTATAGCATTTGCATAACAATTTAGTATACAGAGGAATTATAATTATTCACTAAGTTGTTTTAAAACATATTCAATTGTTTAATTATTTATTCAGGAAAACTCAATTTCAGTAAAATGACTAATATGAGAATATATTTATAGAAAAAGAGGTAAATAAAAAAAAGGTATTAGACATTATTTTTATATGTTTACTTTGTCATCTTTACAAGTACTGTTAAACAACGGATATTTTTACATGTTTGGTTTGAATGAAGTTTTGCATATTTCGTGGTTTATTGACTCCTTAATGGTTGGATGTTACTTTATGTTCCCGTCTTGAAATCTCCAAGCTCCTAATCCGGATCATGACAATATACATGCATAAATTGTAGTTTTTGGATAGTCATTATATTTAAAAGGATCACCCTGCCCTCATCGAATTAGTTTCTCGGTTCTAGGGCCTTGAAATTATGACTCCTGATGCAATACCTGAAGTTGTAAGATGCATTTCAACTGCAAAAAGATCCTCATTTTTCTCATTTTGCAACTAAATTTGATAAACAGCCCTAAGAAACTAGACAAAAAGGAGAAACATAGAGTGCGATGCACCTACATCCCATGACAAAAACAGTAAAAAATTACACCTATCAAAAACAAAATACTCCTAAGTTTCTATAATTTCATCTTTAAAATGTAATGTTCGCGTTCATCAGATTTCAACTTAAAATTCTACTCTAGTTTTTCAATCTTTGATAGTATTTAAGAAGTCACCCGTTGTGTTCAAACATTTTACTATTTAAATACTCGTATCAAAATTTATCTAAATGGCATTGTTTAGTCCACTTATTTCTCTATTCCAGAATTCAACCCTATTGAGGCTAAAAGTTAAGAACCAACCATCCCATAGGCATACCACCACATCCTGTGATCCTCACACACAATAAGGTCAAATAAGACAGTTAAGATCATGTTTGAAGACAATTTTAGAACTCAAGACACAATATTGCGTTATAAAGAACAACCTTCAAGAGAAGCTGACAGACTATTTGGCATTTTGTTGACAGCACTTGCTTTTGTTTAACCATCAATTTTTAGCCCCAGAAATCACATAACTCTTCTGAATAAGAACTTCAGTAAATCTGAATGGTTTTCTTTTCTTGCAAAACATAAACCACATGTTAATGTCATATGATGTTACAAAAGAAAGTGCATGGAAGAAAAGATGAGCAGCATCCTATTCATAATTCAACATTATAATAAAATTTATGATGGGGAAGTGCATTACCCATTTATAGATGTTCCAAAAACCATTGCTTCTATCGCTGACAAAAAAAAGCTCTCCTGAACAAAAAATGGAGGAAACAAATATTCTTCCTTAGTTATGGTTGCATATCAAGACATAAAAGATATACATATCCATAGAAGTGCATTAACTTGGCTCAATAACATCAAGTGTGTTGGTTGTAGCCGCATATTTGCTTTCAGTAATAATATTTGATTTTTCTATTATGGCTTGGGTTAACTCCGGTAATAGGTTGAGGATCCTATCTTTCCAAACAAGACTTACATAAGCAATTTTTCAAACTAGGCATGTCACTGTACAAGAAAATTTAAAAAAAAAACTTAATGAAGTTGAACCCATGTACTTAAGAACAATAATAATTATGAATTATGATGAATATGAATACCAAAATTTAGAATATATTTATCATTTATAATAAACTCAAAGGCAAAAAGACCTTGAACTGTTCCAATGCGCTGATGTGCTACGTCAATTTAGTACTTATTGCCATCAAATAGTTAATATGAAGACAGCTTACATGAAATACACCCTTCTCTCTCACAGTTAAACTTGTTTGCAGCCTCACGTTAACATTAAACTAAGAGATTAAAGAAAGGACGAGGTGAAATTCTTTATTCTGCATGAAGAGCCACAAGAGCAGAGTAAAGAGATACAAAAGGCTAATAAAAAGCTTTTCCATTACATCTTGGTACGGTAGAACAATTGATTGAGACATATAATGCTCTAATTACAACAAAAAAAGGGGAAATCAAAAAGGTAACACCATCGCAAAAGTAGGAAAGGCATTAATGTTAGGGAATTTATGCCTCTTACGAAATGGAATATTACAAATTCAGCGGCCATCATCAACAGTTGAAACAAAAACTAAGATAAAGATGGTAATAATGTTAGCATGTATCGTTAAGCCTTGGGATTTCATATTGTTAACCAGGGAAATAAATACAAATTTCATTTGCTTTCATAAATAACATCTATACACAGCACAAACTTAAATCATCATTCTTATTAGCCGTACCTATTTGTCTTGGTTGAGCACTACATTAAGAGGGTGTTTAGCTACAAGTAGGACTTAAGTTAAATAGGATTTAATAAATCCGGATTTATCAAATTCAAATGTTATAAATCTAGAAGTGTTTGGTTCAACTTAAAGTTAAATCCATTAAATTTGTTTATCCTGTTTGGCATAAATCCACTTGTCTCACTTTCTTCCTAACCTAAATCCGTTAAATCCACATAATAATCGGATTTAATAAATCTGGATAAGTTAAAAAAGTAACGGAACAGGACACTTCTTCGATTTAACGAGATTCAGATTTAGCTTCCTTCATTTTTTTTTTTTTTTTTTGGCAGGATTTACGTTAATATAAACTTAAATCCAACTACCAAACACCACCTAAGGGCTTCTTTGGGATCATTTTTGTTTTCAATTTTTTATTTTTTTTTTCTACTTTTACTTTAAAAATATGCTTGTTTAGTGTTTTTCTTTTCATGTTTTTATTTTCCTTATTTTTGTAAAAAAAAATGGCTTGTTTTTTAAAACGCTCAATATATCCAAATTTTATTTTGAATGTTTTCAAATCAGCTAAACGTGCTATAACATATCAAACATGTTTTAATTGAAAAAAAATTATAAACAAAACAAAATAAAAATAAATAAAAAATAAAAAATTTTAAAAGTGATCCCAAACGGCCCCTAAGTGTTATATAATTTCTTCAGAAAATTTTTGCCCAATTTTATTTAGGTTACCTTCGATTCACCCATTTTTTTCTTCAAAATATTTCTACATAGTATAATCTATTTGACCTTTTGGAAATAAATATTCAATCCAAATAAAGTATGAATGAAAAGACAGTAATTTGCATAACAATAAATGAGGAGGTTATAAAAAGAATATGTGAGAACCTCTAGGGGACCATTTTGGTTCGCTTGGAGATTCTATCAATGTGGGGTTGCCACCAGCAACACAAACTCGTTCATGTAGTTTTCTAAGAGGAACAATGAATTGTAAGTTTATGATTAAAGAAATAAAAAACACTAAATAAATTAGAATGAGGATTTCCACAATGATGAAAAATAATGGAGAATCGAATAACATTGTATGTTGTTTGTAATTCTACAGATATGATCTAGATTATTGTTAATTAAATTTTAGATATATAACAATTTTTTTGATTTTAAGTTAGTTCTTATTTTCATGAGATTGCTATGTAACAATATCTTAGGGTCAGTGGTAGACTAGCAGAAAAGAGAGAAATCTTGGTCAATCAATTAGAAGGATAAAAGAAAAATAAATAAATAACAGGACTTCAATTCAATTCATACATCAACTAATCCACAATATAAATCAATAATCACTATGTATAGAAAAAGGGTTAAAAATATATGATTGGAACCAAATCTTATCCTAAATTAAATGCAAACAATAAATTATCTTTAAAAAGACAATTTACGTTAAAAAAAATCAAAATTCCTAATTTAAATAAAATGCCTGAAGTAAATCCTAAAATAAACAAAATCTAACATCTTACGTTAGAACAACTCTACAAAAATACTTCTCCCATAGAGTTCTATAATTGACAATCCTTATCATAAACCCCTCTAATCTAGAAGATGACTATTTTCTCTGCTCTTCCAAGCCTTTGATTTGCAAATTCAATCTTGCAATTCCATACTCCACTTCGACAATCTCTCATCATAATAAAATAGCAATTTCCGTGACAAGAAAAAACTTAGGCGGAAAAGGAATGATGAATTAAATCTTTTGATTGATATACACTGAAGCGCCTTTGATGTGTTGAGTGCATGAAGGAAAATGGAGTTCGAGGAGAGTGATCAAGATAAGATGGCTAATTGTGGGACTGTGAGCAAAGATGTTGACTTAGGTTCTGCTTTGATACCAAAGCAAAAACGAGATAGAAGAAACTAAGATCAGTCAGTAAATAGTGAGAAAAGTAAAGAATCCAAAAGAGAAGACATTAATTCAATTCAATAATTTATTAATCGAAAATTGTAGCCAATAATCCATATTTATAGAACCAGGGTTACAAAAATAATAATGAAATCATATATAATTGTAATTCAAATTGAGCTAAGAGATAATCCAAGAAAGAATAATTTATGTTATGAAATAAAAATAGGTTTAAGAAAATAATTCTATTAAATGACTAAATAAATCCTAGAATAACCTAAACGTAGTTTCATGCATTGAATCAATTAGTTTATTTAGTTATAGCTTATTTGCATAAATAGCCCTTTAGGATAAATATATATTTAAATATGAGGATGGGAATGAAAACATTTCAATATATCACATCTTGGATTCATAGTTTTCTTTATTCATCTTTAATTTGAGAAATCAGCAAAAAGTGCTCTGGCGGTTTAAATATTTGAATACTAGGAGAACTGAGCATTCATGGCTCAACGACTCATTCTATATTTCCACAGATTTCATATATTTCTCCCAAATCCGTTCGATATCTATTCTACAAAGATTTGAAATCAATTTTAGGCCTCAATATTTCCACAATTTCATATATTTATCCCAAATTCCATCGATATCAACTCTACATAAATTTGAAATCAAAGTTAGGTCTCAAATTTTTGCCCTTGATTTCAGCAATTTCATGTTATTTTTGAATTTACTTCAACAAGTTAAAGCAGCTTTGTACCTTGTACATAAAAATCATGTTCCTACTCCCCTGCTATAAATTTATATATCCTCTCGGGCTCTGCCTCTTAAAATCTAAAATTTGCTTAAATTGTTGTGCATTCCTGTCTCTCAAAAAGAACCAATCAAAAAACAACTATTTTTAGTTCTCCATCCGTCCCCTAACCCTAATTTGTCTCTTGTATAACACATCTTCCAAAATTTCTCAATTATATTCTACAAATTCTTAATAATAAAATATCAAACAATAAATTTAAATTTTTTATATAATTCCAATATTAACTCATTTTATTAAAATTGTCCACAAAATTAGAATTTTATCCACCTCACCTTGATGACTAATCCTTCCACCATTTAAAAATCTTAGCTGTGTACTAGGAAAAGTGTATAACCCTTGCACACGTTCTGAGATTTCCCCCTTCCTGTAATTTGTTATTTAATAGTACAATGCTCTTATTATAAAAAAAAAGACCATAAAAAATGAGAAAAAAGGATTTTCTTTCTTTTTAATTATATCACTTCTCGCAGAGATTTCCCAACTTCTTTCCGTGAACATTTTCATCCACACTAGAATTCAAGCATGATTTAAAATAAAATATCAACATCATTAGATGTTGAGAGTCAAGATCTTATTGACTAATAATTTACAATTTTAGTGGCATGTCCAGGCCTATGTTTTTGAAAATCAACTTTATATCAAACTTTGAGACTATTTGCCTGCATTCCATTATATCACAAAATAGATTTAATTGATATATCAACTACTCTCGACTTTGGAACGCCCAGGACTCTCACATTTAGTTGTTGTTGAAAGCATTGAGGGTCAAATTTTCAGAAGACCAATTGGATTGAAGAGAAGCCACTGCCCAGAAATTTCATTCTTATTTTGCGAGGACTTTTTTATCTGGGATTTGAGGTTTCCCATAGGCGCAAGCCCCTATAGTTATCTACCTCTCCTGATAATGGGAGAACACTTTCAATTAAAGCTAGTCATTTAGAACTGAATATTTAACATATAGTAGCTTCATACATACGGTATAACGTGTAAAATTTATCGCATGGAGCTTACCAAGTAATCCTATTTCTTGATCTATTTATCAGAGGGGTAATCGACCCGACCTGACTGAAGGATTCTTGTCAGCAACCATGGTTTGTGTCGTCCACGAAACCCTAACAAATCTGGGTTAAATATTTGACTGACGGAACAAATCTAAGTCGATTCAGCTAACATAAGGTTTTGTGTCAATTAGATGTATTCTTATGGTTCACAACTCAGGACAGAATGTCATTAAGGAACATACGGGCTGCGACAGTAACAGTAATATAATGGTGTCATTTGAGTAGAACCACCCGATCAAAGCATTCTGGTCGTAACCACTAATTTGTAGTGTTTGAGCCAAAATATGCGGATAGAGGACTTGAGTCACGTCATTACTAGCGTTAAATTACTTTAAGTGTGAATAAAATGGTACATTCGATCTGACATTAGCTCTTTTGTGATTTGAAGTCAATCAAATTTGTCACTCTAAACAAGCTATTGCAGAGAGTGGAATGATCTTGCTTTAAGTTTTTTAACTAATTACTTTTACCTTTAATGATTTAAATTATTTGCTATAAAATTTTGGTTAGAAAATCTTAATTCAAAATTGACCCATCCAGTTGAAATCTTCAGTCAACACGGTCAACATCAGGAATTTTGGACATTTAAATGTTTTGTGTTTGAAATTTACTTGAAATTCATTCATTTTGATTCAACTTCCACTCGATAGTCTAACGTCGCTTTGCCAACAGGAGCTCCACAAGGAATCGAGGATCGACTGTCAAACTTAATCAACCGATCAACAAATTCTAGCCAATCGAATCAGTGCTACCAACCAGAAGTCAATCAAGCTGAGCCAACCGGCAATGCCGACCCAACCTAGCCGACCAAACCGGTCTTATCAAGTTGAAGCCAAACAAGCTCATCTGACCAAGCCAAAAGCAGTCGTGCGATAGGCTCATACCTATAAAATACCAAGAATACTCTGTACAACCCCCTCAAAGCCGAGGCAAAAATATAACATCATTATATTATACTTTATCCAATGTAAATAGGGAGGTCATTTCATATACAAAGAATACACAACTTTAGCCTAAAAGGTCAGAAAAGGTCAACACGATTGATACAATTTAGTATTCCTTATTATGCACTATTCTATCTCTCTCTCTACCCCATTTTCTTAAGCTCTATTCCTTGGGGTGTGATTCACGAACGAATCCGGATTCAAAATTATCAAAATAGATTACACCTTCCACATGAATGGGGTGCATCTCCTATCCTAGTATCAGCATCTCATGACCAACTGGAAAAATAATATCTCATGCCCAACAAAAAATAGCTTAACATCAAACAAATGCATGTGAGAGATCATTCATAACATAGAAACATCATAGCAATAAGCACAATTAAATGCAAACACACTCACCCATCTCTGGAAAAGTACCCCACCCATAGTTGTGCTTTATCCCAAGGCATATTTGGGTGACTCCATTCCAACCAAGCCATCTTCTTCCCCGTTTTATCAATACGTGGAAAGGCATAGAAGTCATTGCCCGAGACTATTTCTTTTGGATCTTCAAACCAACATAAATGAAAGAAAATTGTCGGTAAGAACTACTTAAAACCAAGTGAAACATTTGACAGCTGTACATAGAACCATACTAAATAGTTAAGGAAATTTTTATTTAAATCATAATTACTATGGAACGAGATGATTACTGAATATTTAAACATATGAGGGGGTTTGAACAAGATTTCACAACTTTGTATGAAATAACATCATTCTTTGAAGAGATACAGATATAAAAAAGCTGCCAAGGGATCCTTACCTTGAATAGTTTCATCATCAATATTAACAGCAACAATTTTTGTGGTTGGATTTAAACTGCTTTGTCGAAGATCTGAAAAGCCATAATAGAAGAATTGATTGAACTTCTTAAGATAACATGGAGACAACACTCAGAAAGCAGATGTAAATAGTCATATTTGCATATTTACCAACCTTCCATCACCGTAAGATATAGTTTTGAGTTAGGATCATAGATACCATCAGCGAAACGAACTACAGTTCCACCATAGTCAGGCGTAAGTGGCACAGGACTGCCACCTGTTGTTATTTGAAATTAAGGGTTATATGGTCAGTATGTATAGAACATGAAAAATAAACCGTCAAACAAATGTTATACTAGAGGACCAGAAATAAAAATCAGGTAAATATTATCTGTAGGAAGAAAGTTTCCAGTTTTGCAAGGAGGGACAGGAAAATGCATCATGCGAATTCTCCCAGAAGGACCCAGCACTGTTATTTAGTTGTTTGCATTACAGACCAAATATGATTAATATTTTTGTTAAGGGGTCATCCCGTTTTTTTTCTTCTGGTGAATTGCTATGAATTTTTCCTGAACTGCAATATCACAAAGTTTAGTCAGACAAATTTATAACACCGAAATATGAATGTCAAGGACTGATGACAAGGCAAGTGATCTTCCGTAGATGGATTAAAGCACATTGCTCAAAATCTATTACTTGGAGAACAATGGGTGCTAAAGCACGGGTGATCACTGGCTGGTCAAGCAAAGTCAAAATTGGGTCAATTAAAGCATCAGGAGGCTTAACAAGCTTAATGCACACGTTCATTCATTAGCATATATATAGTCTCTTCCTTCCTCACGTGCGGTCTGGTCCTTTTTGCCCTAACCCGCACCCGAGCCACACTCTGCTCTTCGTTTCCAACCTCACACGATCCTAAATATGAACAGCTCACCTCCATGATCCCACGCATCCTAACAACTAAACTCAAAACCCTGCCCAAGCCCATTTTTCCCATTTTATTGTTCAATATTTAATATTATTATTATTGTGTACTGTATAAAAAAAAGGAAGAAAAAAATCTGCGTTTGTATTTTTATTTTTATTATTTGTTGTCTCGTTGATTACCCCCAATCATTGTTGTTGAAATCATTCGAAATGGTATAAATGGGTGTGGGAGGTAGATTTTTAAAATATCGAATTGATAGGGCTGAGTACCCGTCCTTGGGAATTATTGTTTGAAAAATTACAAACACTGTGGAAATTTTTTAAAAAACTAGATAATTTAAAATACTCATCTTAGGAAACGCAATTGCCCATACTTGAGAATTAAGTACCGTTCGGGAAAAGTAAAGTACTGCTCTGAGAAATATTGCTTTTGATTGGCCCTTTTTTGCATAAACATTGAAAATTTGTAGTCTTTTAAGGCAATGGCTTAAATACTCTGTTTTTGCTCTTCAGTCGTAGTATCTTACAACACTTACTAACAAGTCTTTTAAGACAGTTAGGAAGGCTGAGATTCTCAAGGTGCCCCCTAATAGGGGTTGACACTAGGAGACTGTCATATTTTCGAGTGATTTGGAGTTGTAAATAAGTTAAAATCATGAAAATTTTGAACTTATAAAATAATATAAAATGTGAATTATTTGAATTTTAAAATAATATAAAATTTGTGCTTTTAAAATTTAGACTCCTATGTTTCAAAAATATATGGGATATGGGCTTTTAAATTTTAGGCTCTTAAGGTTTTGAAAATATTTAAAATTTTGTACTTTGAAAATTTAGGCTCTTTAGGCTTAAAAATAGTTTAAAATTCGAACTTGAAAATTTGGACTCTTAGGTTCTTAAAAATATTTAGAATTTTGGGCTTTCAAATTTAGGCTCCTAGGGTTCAAAAATAATTCAAATCTAGAGATTTCAAAAATTGAAAATCACTTCACTAGATTCGCAATATAATTTGTTAGCCAACAAAAGGTGATCCTTTTAAAGCTCCAAATGAAGTTATGCAAATGCAAAATCATAATAATTTTTATGAATATCTCAAAATTTGAATGATTTCAAGGTGTACAAATTTCACAAATATTTAATAAATTAAAAAACACACTTGGAGAATTGTGAGAGTATTTTAAAACTTGTACGAGTGAATGTTTTGATATTCTCAAGTTATGCAAGTTTCAGGACTTTTACATAAATGAGTCAAACATATAAAGTCATACCAAACTAGCAATCAGATTTCAAGAATATTTGATCTCAACTTTACACGATTTCAGATTTTTGAATATACCCTTTTAAAACAAACTCTCAAATTCATATTTAAAAGTTCATCCAAGTTGTTTAAAGCTGATAAAATTCTTGAAATTATACAAACATACAAAATCATACCTGCATGGGCTCTAGCTAAAATATCAAATGCTTTAACAAATAGCTTAATAATGCGGCGCGGGTTAAGACAAAACTTACACTCAAATAGTTCATATTTTTAAAGTCAATCAATCGGTCATCTTGTCTATATGGCAGAGTTGTAAGTCTCACTTACCTAGTCCGATCCTCCTCTTTTAGAGGCTGAAGTTTACGAGACTAATAAGCCACGGCAATCTCCAAATCACAAACATAAAAATTTGTAAATCAAATCACCTGGTTAGATTCTCCTACTTACAAGGACAAGAGTCGACGATACTAACATTCTAAGGATATCAAGACACTCCTAAAAATGTGGCGTACCCGTGTCAAACACGTATTGAACACTGACACTTCTCCAACAAGCCCTGACACTTCTCCGACAGTTCTTCAAAACTATAAAATATATGTCTGAATTTTTGTCAAGCCTGAACACGTCTGTGACAAACTATAACATCACATCAAATGTGAGTTTAACACGATTTTGAGAAAATGAGACATGAAAAATAAAAATTATAAATATACATGTAGTCTTAATTATATCTCATAGTCGGAACCAATTCATATCTTGTCATGTTGAAGCTCCCTCTAACATTTGTCAAAATCGAGCATCAAACGTGCATCCAACATTCATCGAAGCCAAGTCTTTTCAATCATAGAATTTTTTTTAATTTTAGTTTATAAGTTGGATTATAAGTTGGATGAATTCTTTTGAAGCATACTATATCTAATTGTAAAAATTAATTTTCATAAGCATAAGATTTTATAATATAAATTAAATTTATGAAGTTAAATATTATTCTTTCATTATTTGTATTGTGACATTTTTAATAAAGAATAAAGGAAAAATATATAATTCATATTAGTAATTAATTAAATATAAAATCATATATATGATGTGTTGTGTCCTATTTTTTTATAAATGTTGTGTTTCTGTATCGTGTCGTGTCGTATCCGTGTCTGTGCATCATAGATAATAAATTTCAAATGGATTGTAAACACAAATATATTAAAATATCTAAATCCCCAATAATAGCATATTGACTAAAAAATTCTCAACAAGATGGGTTAATTTCAAAAAAACATTCAAATTAATTTTTCTAAGTCAAAAACTATAGTTAAAATTAATAGCTTTAAAATTTAAAGCAAACTTCATTACCATCTGCAACAGTTTGTCAACATTAACAAAATTTTGATTGATTTTAGCTCAAACAAGAGCTAATGTCATATCGAGTGTATCATTATACACTCAAAATAATTTTACTCCAATAAGAAAGTGGTCGGAGTCCTCTATCTACGTGATTCAGCTCAAAAGCTTCACAAAGTAGTAGTTACGACCAGAGACCTCTGACAGAATGGTTGCCGCCAAATGACAACTATATTACAGTCAAAACTGTAGCCCGTATATTTTTCAACAGTTTTTTGACCTTGAGTAGTGAACCATAAGGGTACATCTGATTGGCACAAAGTCTTCTGTTAACTAACGTCGACTTAAATTTGTCTTCTTGGACAAACATTCATCATAGATCTATAAGATCCTCTTGGACGATGCAACCCATGGTTGTTGACAATGATCTTTCAACTAGGTTAGGTCTACTACCTCCTCTAACCAAGTAGAGTAGGGACCACGACAACCCAGGACGACGAAATCATAGGAACTTGATCGGGTTCGTCATCATTTCTCTTACCATCTACTTTAAGCAACAAATGATAAATTTTACAATTTCAAATGTACTGATGTTAGTATATGTTAAATATTAAACTCTAAATGACTAGCCTTAATCGAAAGTGCTCTCCTGCCATCATGAGGGGTAATTAACTATAGGGATCTATGCCTATGGGAAAGCTCGAACCCCAGATTAAAAAGTCCTCAAAAAATCAGGACAAAATCCTTCGGTGGTTTCCATCTGCAAATCAATATGTCTTCTAAAAATTTGACCCTCGAAACTATGAACACATAAATAACAAAGAGTCCGGGGCATCAAAATTTTTGGAGCCAATAAATAGGTAATAATATTAAATCATCGATCTTTATGCCTTAAAAATGAGAAGTATGGAATTTAAAATTTACCTCCAATATTTTGCTTGTATAACCGCTGGTCTTTATAGTTAGAGAATATCACCAAATTCTCAAAGACAGAAAAAGCTCCCCCACCATACTCTTGGGCCGAAGTTCTTGCTGCAAAGTCTGAAGGGATGATATCGATAGGCTTAACTCCTAAGTTTTCGGATTCCTTTACAAGAACTGTGCGCCTTAAACATTAAATACTCGAGTTAAGTAGACAAAATACTACAAAATATGGGGGGCTTAAGAAAAAATATTATTGAAAGAATAAGAATATAAGGCAAAAAATTGCAGGAGTTAACCATAAGATTATTAGATACAGCTATATTTTGCAGTATAAATAAATAATAAAGTAACATTAATATACAAAAAGTAGATCATAATCCAAATATAAAGAGAATAAAATGCAACCAACTTCAGCTCCAAAAGGGACAAAACCCACGTTTAAATCAGAGCACCCACAAAAACTTCTAGAAAAAAAAGCTCGAGGTAAAACAGAAAAAAATCTTAAACAACATCTATAGACTAGCTGAACACATGGAATGCGTCCTCTTAGAATCCACAAGGTTAAGGAACATTTATCAAGGCTGTGAAAAAGCTGCACAAAAAAATTATACAGGAAAGCAAATGTTGAGTGAAAGATTAACTAACTCATCTTTCACAGGAACAAATTCCAGAGCTTCTAAAAAGAAAGCTATAATTACCGTATATAGAGTTGGAAATAGATAAAAAAATTCGGACAATTACATACAGAACACCCGAAACATTGCTATTTACGAATCAAGCACCCTTCTTCATCCATTTTTCAAATTCTCACTCAAATATCAAAATTCATCATAAAACCCTAACCCATATTTTTCATTTGTATCAAATTCTCAATGGTTTGACCTTGGCAGGCGTAAATGCATCGGTTCAGTAGTTCAAAAAATCTCCTGTGTGCTTGATATGTAAATATCAATATTTCGGGTGCACTGTAGGTACAAAATTTAAGCTCATGCAGAATAATATTTCTCCTGGCAAAAACTTCCAGGAAGTGCAACAAACTTTAGCTCAAAACTCCTGCTGAGAAATCATATCATTGTATTGAATAGGGTTAGATTTATTAATAATATCCTCATTTCCACAAATAAAACAAGATTAATGAAATAAGTAAATCCACGGACAACCCAGAATTGCGAAAAAAAACATTTGTAATCAAGCAATACATTCAATAATCACTGGACATCAGAAGACGAGTGACTGATCATAACCCAGGGTTTGTAAACAGAAACTTAATTTTGAGAGAAGATGAGAAACAAAACGCCGACAGTAGCAATGCATACCCTCCCTCTTCCGGCCGCGTCTCAACCCAAACAAGGCGGCCATCGACAGCAACCCCAATGCCTCCCAGCTTCCTATCTGCACCGGAGACGACATCGGCCGTTATTGGCGATTTCCAGGAGCCATAAGGTGCGGTCATCCTCTCGACTTCACCGCTGGTGGTCGATGCTACAGACGCCATCGTCCGTGAAGGCACAAAAACCTTTGATGAGCGTCCGAATGAGATCCTAAGAAAGCGAAGTGGGCAGTAGAGGCGAAGAGAAGCGGCGGTTCGAGTGACGAGCTGAATCGATGGAGCCGCGGCCATCAACTGCAGCTGAGGTTTTGACGAGGATGGTCAATTTGGGCCCACCTACTAGCCGGCCATGGAATGAACGGAACTAAAAGAGTAAAATAAGTGGGCTATCGCGACAAAAGATTTAAATCAAACAATTCAAATATAAACAAATGTTATTTTTGATTTGCAAGAAAATCAATGGAAAAACATTTATATACATACCATCCAATTTTTTTGTACATCTAAAATGCATAAGAGCTGATCCAAAGTATCTAATGATTAAGAAGGATGGAAGATTAAGATAAATAAGGGTTCATCGGCTGAAACCAAGAGGCCCAATTATCCAATCGAATGTAGTCGTCGTCCAAGCAAAGAGAGAAAAAAAATAACGATTGAACAATCTAAATCCAAATCAATCGGACTAAAGCAAAAAAAAATAAGCATCCAAGCTAACCACTACAGGAAAGATAATTGAATGCATAAACCTATTTTATGATAGTCAGCTCACAATGCGACCCGAGGAAAGAATCTTGTTCTTCAATATCATCAATCATCCCATAGACACCGTGAGGCTCCTCACGAAGCAGGAATTGAAAATGCAATAGCCATATAGTCATCTCACAAGCACTCCTCATCGAGAAACGAGCTACATATTAGGTTGTTATAATTCACCATCTGCTTAATAGTCTAATCTTGCATTACCAACAGGAGCTCCTCATCCAGAGATCGAGGTTTGATAGACATATTACATTGATGGTTCATTAAAACCTGACTGATAGAATCATTCCTCGTCAGTTTTTTTTTTCATTGACATGGAGCTTTGAATACCCAAAAATCAAATTATTTAAAAAATTAACACATCATCAAAAGTAATATACTATCTTGAGAAAAATATCATTTTATGATGGGTTTGATTATTTAAATTAAGAAATTTTGGATATTTACATTGGTCTATGATTAGAACTAACAAAATTTTTCCCTTATCTAGTCTGACAACTAGATAGGGTTTATATTTATATAGAATCTGTAAACTTCATATAAGGACAAGTCTCTATAGTTAATTACATCTTAAACAAACAAAGCCACTTAAAAAAACTCTCAATTAAGGTTGTGGTTTTTTCTTCAAGAAATTTTCTAAGATCAAATTTCCACAATTGATTATTAGGAATTCCAAACAAGAAAAGCTCAAAAGTAGAGGTTCAGCTACAAAACTAAAATCACTTCACAAAGAACTTACACCTCATTTAGATTGAGGAGCCTCTCTATCACCCAAGGTAATTTAGAAAACCATCTAGATAAAAAGACTATGCTTAACTAGATGGGTTAAAGTAGTACGAGGGCTCCTTTTCAGAACATGCAAATTGCTGCAATTATTTAATCTAGTCCTAGTGTGGAGGCCCTATTAAGTACGACTTGGGTGATAGTCATACATGCAAACCCATTTTAAAATCAACCTAAAATCCATGCAGAAAAATAAATACATGTTTTAAAAGTGATGATATTTTAATCTTAAATTTATATTAATCTTAATCTTTAAGGGTTTTTGTAGAAAATTTTTTTCTTTAACCCAAAAGATCCTAAACATTAAATTCAAGAGCTTTCAGACAAACCAACATGAAAATAAACACACCCAATGAATAAATAATAAAAAGGTCAGGTGTGGCTGAGTTGGCAACAAATCATAGAAACATTAAAAAAGGGCGGTCAAGCTCCACATATACATGTCTGATCCTTATGTTATGCATCAATATCAACTCAAAATTAAAACATGGGACATTGTACACAGCTCCTGATCCTCGTCGTGTCGTTCTATGTATGTATCTTAGTTCTGATATAGACATAATTCTAAGGGCAGTAAATAAAAATATATAATAAAGTCCAAACACTTAGCCTACAATGAAATAAGGTTAGCATAAATTTATCTACATTCAACATAGTGAATCATTCCCAGCAAGAGGAGAGCTAGATAGCACTAGTAGAAAATAGATTACTTACAACTCTTCCATATTAGATATGGCTTCCTGCAAGAAGATTGCCCAAATATGCTAGCGCACATATCTTAAACCAAGTAAACTATCTATAGTGAAAATCAAAGAATAATAGCGAAGATATATGAAAATTCTAACAACACCCAACCCTATTCTAGCAAGCATCCAAATTAAGGTGTCATAACACAATAACCTAAGTGTGTGTAGAAAATGTTGCTAAGTTGGGCGTATTGATGGCCGATTTTTGTGTATGTATTGTAAATATCTTTCAATATTCCTTGTAAATATCTTTCAATATTCCAATACACCCACATCATCACAATTAGTAAATATACAGATCAATTACAATAAAAATCACTTCAATATAAAAAGTTTTATTTTTAAATCTTTAAGCTACCAAATCTAATAATTACGCAAGTATACGTTGTCAGTGGGGAATTTGTCATTTACATCTTGGAAGTAATTTAAATTTAATTTAATATACATATAAATTTAATTTTTAGAAAAAATAGTAATACCGAACTGATCTCATATAGACAATAATTTAAGTAAACAAGCAAAACATTACAAGTGACATACCTACCCCGAAGAATAGAAATATCACTTAATAGTGAGACTCAATTAAATAAACTAAAAAATTTATGACATTTGTTTGGTCTGTGAACCATTTTTATATAAGTTGACAAGTTCTCATATCTAATATAGAAGATTAGGTAGGGTTTATATTAAACTGGGTTCTTAAAGTTTCCTATAAGGGCAAGCCCTATAGTTAATTGCATCTTAAATGACCGAAGTCACATAAAAAAACTCTTGATTTAGTAAAAAATCATGCCTTCAAGAATTTCAAAAGGTTAGGATTCTCAAGGTCGGACAAAGGAGTGACAAATAGGAGAAGATCAAATTTGGAACATTTTATTTTTGAAATCTAAAGAAAGAAAAACTAAGGTATGGATGTCACAGATCCTGTGGAAAAACCTTAATGACTTCCCAAGTTATTCTATAATTTGGCTTCAATTTCGATGAGATGATATTATTTAATGTTTCATCCTACTAACTTTTATTATTTAGAGCTTACATTTGTATGACACAATCATAAAAATAACTTGGAAGATAGGAGGGTTTATGTCACAATAAGTGGCAACCTCAGAACCTAAGAAGAGTTAGGGCTTAAATTACACAACACAATTGTGCAAAAGCCTAAAGATAAAGTTGAGGATTTATGTCGCATTAGGTGGACTAACTCGATGTCTTATGGCTTGCTGTTTAATTATAAGGAAGAGATTGTTGTTGTAGATCTGTTTGCTCTCTCGAAGTTGTTCTTCTGCACATCCTCATTGTGCTACCCACGGCTTTAGGTCCAAGTTCCTCATCGATGTAGCAATCCTAAAGTCTAAGTTTTAAAGTTTTAGATGACAAATTTCAGTTCAATCATGGGGGGAGGGGGTTAAAGTTGATTAAAGCGACACCAGTTATGATCCCACGGTTCCCTCATTTTGGTACCACTATTTTCTTTTGAATTTACTTAGCTTAAATGAGTTGTTAAGCTCATTTAAACCGGGGAGATCTCGTTAGCAATCGTTGATTACCTCATCCGAGGGATTCCCGTAAATTCAAAAGGACGTGTTATGAAATTATTGTTTTTGTTTCGGTTTTGAAAATGTTGTTTAATTTTGAAAAGGGTTGATTGATTTTGGAATTATTGTTTTTGTTTTGGTTTTAAAAATGTTTCTTAATTTTGAAAAGGGTTGATTTTTTTTGTTTTAATGTCGCATGTAGATTTGTTTCAAGTATTACAGAGTAAAGTAAACAAGTGCAAATAGGAGAGTATGTTGTAAGGTAACAAAAATTACAGTACAAAAAACATAAATGCGTACATGTCCTCTTCTCGCACTCCCGCTGAAAGATTAGCCTTGCAGTATATATATAATTTTGCAGAAATTTAAATAAAATTGTAGGAAAGAAAAACAGGGAAGAAGGTTCAAGTTGCTTCTACTAAATTCTATGTCGCAACCTGATGGTCCCCTAGAAGTTTTAATGGATGATTTTCTGGAACAAAATATAATAAGTTCATTTGTCCTTCAAAATATCCAAAAGATCATATGGGTGTTCGGTGCTTGACCCCGAATGACCTTTAGAATCCTTTGAAACATTCCGAGTTCATTTAAACTTATTATATTATTCAAGTAGTCATCCAAAGTTAAGTTTAGGGTCTGACTGATTAAACTACCCTATGCTCAGTGAACATGATCTTTCAATTATCTCATGAGATGGGTACTTAATTAGCATTTAATGTTTCATTTTAAAGTTATATAAATGGGTGCCCTTGAGGGAAAGATTAGGTTATTAAGAATTTCATACTTACAATTAAAGCTCGGCTTGTAGTGTTTGAAAAATGTTCATAATTAGTTATGTTTTTTTTCCTAAATCTCACTAAGCAAATTCAAATTAAACATAATTCACTACTAAGCTCTTAAGACTTATGTGTAAATGAGTTCAGGACTTTTAGGGATGATAAATTATAAGGCATTTTTAATCCTTGTCAATGATTATATTACTCAAACATTAACTGAGGGTTTTAAATTAGTGATTTATCATTTTCTAAAATCTAACCCCTTACCTTAGAATCATTTAATTTAATTAACCTCTGAATTATAATAAGTGGGGAAATTATAATTATACCATTATTGTAGGAAAGTGAAGAATTAGTTTCTACCATTTAATCCCTTGTGTTTAAATCATTCAAAAGAGCTCATTATGATCAAAGATACCCATTTACCCTTTAATCAATCCTAAAATTTAATTAAAGCATAAAAATTAAAAATTACCATTTGCCCTTAGAGTTCCCCACTTCATAACTTATTAAATAGAAAAAATTACCATTTTGCCTTAGAGTTCCCCACTTCATAACTTATTAAATAGACCCCAAATGACTTTGAAATTTTTATAGTACCTCACTCATGGGTCAAATAAAATTTTATAAGAGAAAATGTAATTTTCTTATTTTTATTTAATTTTTAATTAATTTATTCAAAAAATAAGGATTTTCAAAGTTAATTCATTTAACTAATCAAAACAAACTATCTGTCCTTAAGAAAATTATTGAAGGTTCACCTA